GAGAGAGAGAGAGAGAGAGAGAGAGAGAGAGAGAGAGAGAGAGAGAGAGAGAGAGAGAGAGAGAGAGAGAGCTTTTTGTTGCACCAGCATCGTCACAAACCCATCTTTCGTTTCTTATTTGAGGTTGTTTTACTGGTCTTCTTTTTATCATGCTCATTCTAAACCACTCCTTTTGTTCTAATTCTTTTCCACCATCTCGAAGGGCATAGCAGCATCACTCACGGAATGTCAAAAGACAAAACCTATGGCGGGTGTATCTTTCTATAGACAAAACCTATGGTGGGTGTAGCTTGCAATAGACAAAACGTATGGTGGGTGTATCTTGCTATAATTTTGCGGAAGATACATGCTCCATTGTGCACATTCGGGGAGTAGTATGCCGAGGCCCCAATTCTGTCGCATACACACTTAGAATCAGATAGCTACAACAATACGAACAAACACTTGGTCACTTTGCTTTATTTTTTCCTCTCACATTGTCAATTACCGTCTTCACACGACAGAACGCCCGTCATTATCACTGTGTCTAGATTGGAAGTTGAGCCAAATACGGCCATAATGACCGGGCTTTCTATTCGGGGTTGAAAATGGTATACTCTTGTTCTTTTCATTTCCTCTCCATCTCCTTCATCTCTCTCCTTCTTTGGGCATCTCACTCAGACTATTTACTATGTTGGACAAAGGAAAAAGTTCGAAAAACAATCAATCCAAAGATTCCAAACAGACTTCTCCTAAAATAAAATCTCCTTCACCAGTTCTGAAAGTTAAGCACATCATTCTTCAAGGATAAGGCAAACCATCCACATCCATGCCCATCCTCTTTTTTTTTTTTTTTTTTATAATTTGCCAATTTGCCAATTTATGTGTGTTACCCTTTGGCAGGGGCCATGCTAATCTTCTCTGTATCGTTCCAATTTTAACGGATGTCCCGAAGGACGCATCCATGCCCATCCTGCTCAGCAGCTATGCAGAATTTGCCCCGCCTTGCACCCCCCGCACTGGGCCAGCTCACACTAGGCCCAAAACATGTAGCCAAGTTCTCCAAGTCCCCAAAAGGCTAATAACACACCAATCTTTTATCAGACTGGGCTTCGTAGTTTCAATCTAATATGGGAATACTCACACTAGGACTTTTCTACTTATTTATGGACGTAATTGCGGTCTGATGCATCCAGGTCTGGCCGTAAATGTCGTCAGGTCAGGTACGTTTAAGGTAAACTAGTGTGGGTGATGGTCCTGAGTGCTGGTCACACTGAGGTAGATAGTAGGGACAGGGGGTGCGCTGGGAGTATTAACGTGGGGATGGGTGGGTAGGTGGCCTGTTACATCTTCGACGCCACACGGGTCCTACCGGACCCGACTTAGGGCTAGAGGGACACACCAGGGCCTAAAGGCCCGACCTTGGGTTACTACAGGCCATAAAGGCCTCACCTTGGACCAGACCCGACGGGCAGGCCCAAACGACATTACCGTTTGGGCCTGGCGGCGCTCTTGAGGCTGCCGCCCGCCGGCATTCTACCGGTACGGTATGGTACAGCGCGAGACAGCGCTGGCGCTAAGTTTAGCGCAGGAGCAGCGAGGAGCGGCAGCGCAGCATTAGCGCAGCAGCGAGCGAGCAGCAGCAGCAGCGACTGGGTGTGCCGGCGGCCATAGCCGCATGAGGTATCGGGGTTGGAGGCCTCTCTCCTCCCTCCCCTCGCCAGTCCCCTCTCTCTCTCTCTCTCCTCCTCGGTTCCTTCTTCTTCTTCTTCTTCTTCTTCTTCTTCTTCTTCTTCTTCTTCCCCTCTTCAGACTCCATCTTCTTCTTCTTCAGATTGGAGACTTATACTAGTTAGACAGAGATCAGTATTGGACTTCGGTGGTATGAGACTGTGGTACTTACCGGATTGGAGACTTGGAGATTGTTGGGGTTGATACTCGGCTGCATCACAGTTCGGACACCGGTTACATTTGGACTCTGTACCTCCGACATTGGTGACCTATTGTCCTCGACATTTTGATCTTGTTGGATGACATTTTAGACTACCATATCGGTGACCTATCAGATTCTATCTCGGTGACCTTCGGTGCTGTCTACCTCCCCCCACCTCCTTCGTCTCTCCTCCCCCCTCTCATCTGTGTATGCGTGTACGAGGTCTGGGCATCGTCTATGCTCGGCCCAGACCCCACCATCTCACGATTGTGTGTGTGGAGTGATTCTTGAGTCAGTCCGTGTGAGTCAGTCTATGTGAGTCAGTCCGTTTATCAGACTTCCGCTGCATATATGCTCATCCTACATTGGTTGATCTTTGGTTCTGCCCATACTCATTGAAGTATGTAACAGTTTTGGTATCGGAGCAGACCAATAACGGATCTGCTCACCAGGTAAGTCCGTTTAGAATTAGATTATTTTGTTTGATCTTCTAAATCGGCGCTG